GCTGTACCCAACAAAGAGATAGTAACAGGTGTATTATCCTTACACTAGAAAAGCAATGCCTCCCACTGGGCCGCGTATGACTTCTCTTACTCTGAGCTGTGCCTAACTGATGTGAACTAGCTGTAAAGTACATGTAATTTTGTATATGATTCTTCAGTTATGTCATTAGGCCATTCAGTTTTCCACATTTTTGCCTCTTGCCTTCAGTGGCTCTGATCCTCCCATTGATACTGCACAGGCAGACTGTTAGGTGGGTGTGGAACACTGCTGATGTCAATAGGATTCCAGCTGGGCACAGCAGTTTGCCTGTGCAGTCAACTGAAGTAACACACTTTGACTTTTCATTTTCATTGTGCAGTAGGTTCTAAAGCAAACCCAATAAGACAATTGTAAACAAAATCTTTGTTTATCACTTTTGCACATTGTTTATCTTTCTTTTAAGCATTTGTTTTAGGTAAATCAAGTCAGGTGTCAGTTTAGTTTTTACTATGTGATGCTCACCCTGAATTATATAATTAATCTATGACAAACTTAAAAAGATCATTTGCAATCTTATTTTATATAAAACTATTTAAAGGACAGATGACTTATATAACTTGATCCTAATTTTCCAAGTGTGCTGAATACTGAACTTCAAACAAATTGATGGGCATTGAGTTCACAGAATACTTGCAAGACTAAGCTCCTTTTTTTGTTATTTTCAACCCTGACCAGTGATGGCTGATGGCTTTGCTCATTTTATTATTTATCACCGGGTTCAAACCAGCCGGGATTTAAAAATGGCGGCGCCCGGCTTATGCAAATGAAGCCCAGGAAATTCAAATCCCGGGCTTCATTTGCAATTGCGGTATACCTACATTACCCCGCTAGTTCGAACTAGCGGGGTAGTGTAGACATACCCTAATAGATTAGTATTAGGGCTGCAGATTTGTCACTGTGATTCTTCTGTTTGCCTATGACTTTTTCCCATGTTTGTGTCTTTTCCAAAGTCTGGGTCAGTGGCCCAGAGAGCCAAGGACCAGGGGGAGATAGTAGCTTGAGAATTAACCTACTCAGCCTCTTGAGGAGATATGAGGAGGCTGGAAAGTGACACTGCTCTGCCTTCACTAGGTGCAGTGTTGCTCAGGTTTAGCCCCACTATCTCCCAGTCATGAAGGGAGGATAGGTAGGCCAAATTTCACTGCGTGGCATCATGAACTAACATGTGGGGTTGCAGCACCTCTCAGGTTTGGTCCGCATGCTCTTCAATCATGATGGGAGATATGTGGGGTGGTCGAACCTTAGCAATAATGCATCACTGCATGCTAGGTCACAATGGCCAGAATGGGGCACTGGATCCAACCCCATGGGACAATAGCTACAGGGGCTTTTGCTGTGAGGTGAGCCTGGGACCTTGCGACTGTTTTTTTAAAACAGTATTAATAAATAACTACTAACTAACTATAAAAACTATGGGTATGTCTACACTAGCCCCCTTGAATTAAAGCCCCTTGCAGGAGGAATAACAGGTAGTTCAAATTAGGGCTTTAATTCGAACTACCGGCTCCCTGCCGCATGTAGCCGCGGGCAGTTAGTCCGGACTAGTGAAATTTCAAAATGGCGACCGGACGGGAAGATGCAAATAAAGCCCGGGATATTTAAATTCTGGGCTTCATTTGCAACTTCGAATGCCTACATTAGCCTCCCTAGTTCAAACTAGGGGGCTAGTGTAGACATACCCTATTATATTAACACAAATTAGCTATATATTTCTGAGGTAAAGACTCCGAGGAGCAAGGTGAGTTCTGTCTGCAACCGAGGGTGGCAGCGAAGGAACTGAGGAAGGGTCAGGATACATGTGTGACGCAAAGGGTGCAAACAGTGCGAGGCGCCTGGAGTGCACGTGCAGCACAACCAGCTATGGAAAACTGAGCTGCAGTGCTGGGGTGACCCGACACCTACAGTGGAGCACCCACGGAGACATCACTTGAAGAAGAACTAACATTTAGAGAAAAATACTACCTCACTGTGTGGAATGAAGCAACGGTAGCTGACCAGAGGCTTGGGAGCCATCCCTGTAGGTAAAGGGGCAGGTTGGCTCAGATAATCCTGAAGCAGCATGGGCAGCTGTCTTAAAAAGGAACAGTTTACCAGTGTATCTATTTAATCCACTACACAATGATTTACTTGCCAATTCTAGCCTGCTCAAAAGGGATTAAGTACACAGTAACTCCCCTAACTCAGTTGACCATGTGCCCTTGGTGGTATTAAGTGCTGGCAGCTAAGTTATCTGTCACTAAAACCAATGTGTAACATACTCTTGCTCCTGTGAGGGTGCTCTGGGGCTGTGGAAGAGGCTTCCTCTTCCTTAAACCTTGTATTTCTTTGCAAGGAAAGGCAAGGCAAGGGTTTGTCTTTACCTTATATGTAATACAAATAAAATTAATTGCAGGCAAGAAAAACAATTAAGGAAGTTCGTATCTGCTTCTTTACTACTACAAAACCACAAGTAATTGAATCTAACATCAAAGTAAACCAGACAATTTGACTTAAATATTAGTTTCACTATTCTATTACTATGTGTGTATATATATATATAAATAAAACTACTTTCATTGATTCATTAAATGTTCTACAACTGTAAGATAATGGAATACCAGACAAAAAATCTTTGTATGAAGCAAGAAGGTCCATAAAAGCAAATTCTGGGATCTTCTGTTGTGTTATGGTTTTCACTTGGTGACCTTTAACACCCTTCTTTCCAATTAATAGCTGAGAAGCAAGCATAGCTTCACTGACCTAAAATTAACATTTAGGTTAGTCAGAATAATAGGTATACATATTTCGAGCTCTGAAAATAGAAGACAAACATAAAAAAATTAAGCACACAATACCAGAGATATTTAGGGAAATCTTCTATTTCTCTCCGACAAACAGTATATATCTCACTTAAATAGATCATTACTGTTGACAATTATTGTACAAGTGATTTCAAATCAGACATCTTCACCTGAATGCCACTGATGCATATCCATGTGTCAAATGTGTATGCACACATATAAGGGACTTAATTCCTAGATTTGCATTGAATTAAAGTAAAACCAACTAGTCAGAACTGACATTGTTCATACACCATTCATTTTCAATATTCCAAATAACACATCTGGCAGTAGTCCCAATGAATTTTAATCCTTATCTATCCTATGCTGTGTTGTCTTCTCAGCTGGTAGCAATGGAATACTGCATATGTTTACACAGAACAAAAACAAAAAACAAAAAAACCCCTGTGGCAGCAAATCTCAGAGCCCATGTAAGTTGACCGTAGCTCATGGGGCTTGGACTGAGGGACTGTAGTAATGTAGATGTTTGGGCTAAGGCTGGAGCCTGGGCTTTGAAACCTGGCAATTGGGGAGTGTCTCAGAGTCCAGGCTCCAACCTGAGCCAGAACACATGCACTGCTATTTTTAGCCTAGCAATGCAAGCCCAAGTCAGCTAACACAGAATCTGAGACTCATGCCACAGGACTTTTTATTTTTGCTGTGTTGTCTTACCCAAAGATGGAATTAAACACAAAGATGGAATTAAACACAACAAACTTCTCCAAAATAACACACCAACCTGTGTAGCTGCTCTTATTGCAATCCAGGCCTGTGCTCTGTAAACTTCAGTTACATGTGAGATTCTTTCACTAGAAGCCACATTTTCTTTTGGAGAAGTCTAAAATTTAGCAACAGTTCATAATTAGGTTGGAAGGTTTCCATGGAAATACATACCTGATGGAGAAGAGGTTCTGCAAGAGTCATGGTAAATAAGTTACAGAACTCAGTAACATTTGTGAAAAGTCACAGGTGTATTTTAAAAACCACCCAAACCATAAGAATCAGTCTCTAATATATTTCTGTATTTTTGAAGGCACATCATGGTCCCTCTCTTTTCCATAGTTCTTGTATAAATCTTTCTTCATTTTTTGTCAGTAAACATTCTCTTGAATTTTAGGTGGCATCATTCTATTACCTCTTCTTTCCTTACCTACTTGACCTGCATATTTCCCTGATGGCGTAGTGCTTGTGACTGTACCTTGCAGTATATTAATCTTTTATGTCTGCAATGTTGCCCCTAATCTCCAGTTCTAAAACAAAATATAAATAACAATATACCAAGAAACTGCACTTAGAAAAATGTTTGAAGTTCAGTTTAAAATTACACTTTGAGAATCACAGCACATATTGTGAAACTAAGCCACACATTAGTACTCTCGTTGGAATTCTGCACCACTGTGCAATGCAGAATTTTGCAGAAATTACTCTTATATGCACAGAATTTTCTCCCCCCCCCCCGAACTAAAATGGGATGCCGTGCTGCTAACCACCACTGGACCTGGCAGAACCCAGTTTGCACATAGCAGACACTACTGTGAGGAAGGGAGATGGAGAAGAGCTAGAGGGTCCCGGTACCTGCAGTCCCTGCATGCTCTGAGGGAAGGAGAGGGCAGCATCCAGGAAACTCTGGGCAAGTTTGGAACTAGACATAAGACTGTTTCTCCCTCTGGATTCTTGGTGGCTCTGGGAAAGGAGAATAGATTTCTAGGCAAGGGGACCCCTGCAGCTGGGCACTGATGAGGAGGAGGTCCAGATATTTGGACCGGAGTGCCCATAGGTAGGCTCTGGGGGGATAGGATGCGGGCTATGGGGGGTAGGAGATATGTCTCCCTCGCCCCCAGCTAGGCACTGGAGCGGGGGGGCAGAGAATATGTTATTCAACTTCATGCAGTAATGATGGTTCTTCGAGATGGGTCCCCATGGGTGCTCCACTCATGGTGTCGGACTAATCCTGGCACTGCAGCTCAGAGGCTTTGCGTAGCTGTATTCAGCCAGGTCACACATGTGCAATGTGCAGCATGCGCCATTCGTGCTCTTTGATCTTCGTGCATACCTGGCTCCCCACTCAGTTCCTCTCACCATTCGGTATCTGCAAGGATACAAAAAGAAAACAACTCTGGAACAGGAAGGAAGGGCAGGAAGTGGAGCACCCAAGGGGACCCATCTGGAAGAACCATTGTTACTGCACGAAGGTGAGTAACAACTTCTTCTTTGAGTGGTCCCCCCATGGGTGCTCCACTCATGGTGACTTTGTAGCAGTACCTATGTTGCATTCCTGGAGTTCGGGTTTGTCAATGTCCGAAAGTACTGCTGAGGCCACCAAGGAATCAAGTGCCCACTGTCACACTATTGCGTAGTGGTTCATAAAAGTTAAGTTTGAGGACTATGTGGCTGCCCTGCAGATTTCTGGCAGTGAGACTCCTTTGACCAACACCGTGGATGTTGCCTCTGCCCTAGTGGAATGTACTCTAGGTAGGGTCTCAAGGGGCTTGTTGCAGATTGAGTGACACATGGTGATGCAAGAGACTATGATCCTGGAAAGAAGCTGGGAGGACAATGGGTTGCCTTTGGAGTGATCCGCTATGGATACTATTAGGCAGTTGGTTTTGCACCAGATCCGTGTCCTGTCTTTATAAAAAGCTATAGCTGGATGTACATTGAGGGTATGGAGTAATGCGTCTCAAGTAGAGGCATGTGATTTTGGATAAAAGATGGGTAAGATGATAGGTTCGTTGACATGAAATTGTGACGTGACTTTAGGGATGAAGGCTAGATGAGTATGCAATGTGACCAAGTCCTTGTTGAAAACCATGGACGGTGGTATTGCCATTAATGCTGCCAATTCACTCATCCTACAGGCGGACGTGATTGCCAATAGGAATACCACCTTCATGTTAAGCATAGATAACAATGTGGTGGCTAGCGGCTCAAAGGGTGGATACATCAACATGTCGAGGATCAAATCCAAGCTCCAAGCGGGGGGTACAGGTCTGTGAGTGGGTTTGAGGTTTGCTATTCCCTTAAGCAATCTCTTGGTCAAGGGGTGAGCAAAGATGGGCTGACCATCGATGGTTGCATGGAAGGCGGTAATTGCTGATAGGTGTACCCTCAGGGTAGAGATAGAGAGACCTGCTTGGTCGAGAGAGAGGATATAAATCGAGAATTTTATGCATTGGTGCCAAGTGTGACTCGATGTCACTGTTCTTACACCAAGCCATGAATCTCTTCCATTTTTCCAGGTAAGTCCTTCTCGTAGTCTCTCTTCTACTGTTCAATAGTACCGTCTTCACTGCCTCTGAACAAAAGTGCTCCTCTACTTTGAACCAGCTAGGAGCTACGCTGTTAGGTGAAGGGTCTCTGATCTGGGGTATAGCAGGGCCCCTGGTTCTGAGAGAGAAGATCTGGGAGGAGTGGCAAGGGGTTGCAGAGGAGTATATTTTTCTGCCAAATAGGTCTAGCTTTTTTATATCTGGTGTTGCCTTATACTGCGGTGTTTTGGCCCGCTGTTGTGCCGCATCTACCACCAATGAGTTCAGCTGTGGGTGGTTAAAGAGGAACTCGAGATTCTTGGAAGGGACAAAATATTTCTTGTCTGCTCTCCTGCAGGTCGGTGGCACCGACACTGGTGTCTGCCAGATGATCTCTGCCGCCTCCATGATGGCTTCATCAATACGGATGGCAACTTTTGCACTCTGCCTTGGGTGCAGATTTTTTAGCAGTCGATACTGTTTCATTTGCACTTCTGTTAGCTGGATTTCCTGGGACTGGGCCACTCGCTTGAAGCCATCTTGGAACTGTTTGAAGTCATCAGGCGGAGGCATGTCCACTGGGAAAACCGCCTCGGATCTTGGAACTGTTTGACGTCATCAGGCATGTCCACTGGGAAAACCGCCTCGTCCAGCGAAGAGGATGAACAGTCAGGAATTAGGTTTTCAGTCTACTGGTCCTCCACTTCTGACAATTGGCCGTCTTCAGCGCAGAGCGCTGTGTTGTGGCACCCGGATATTGGAGAGGTCAGCTGGCAACTGTGCTGTTGCTGTGGCAACGTGTGCCTTGCTGGTGGTGGTTCAGCACATGAAGATTATTGATGTATATGGTGGAGTGATGAATATGGGGAGTTGTGGTGGTGATCACAACATCAATCTGATGGGTGAAACGATGAGTACCTGGATGATCTACAGCTGGTATGTCGCCTCTCATAGCTGGAATACAGAGAATAGTGATAGTGTGGCAACCGTCTGTATGGTGGGGAGTAGGATCGGTGCCTGTAACAGTCACTGTAGGACAAGTGCCCATATGGAGAATAGCATCTGTGGTAGAACTGCTGTCTTGGGCTGTGCTGCCAGTAGGCATGCTGCAGAGGTGATCGATACATTGGAGGAAAAGGGGAAGGTCCCAGTGAAAACCTTGGAGAAGAGGAGTGGGGAATCCTCTGTCTCCATGTTTTCACAGCTGCTTTCGCTGGTGGCTTTGGGTTTGCCGGTGCTGGCTCCAGCTCCTCCTCCGGTGCAGGTGTTTGAACCAGTTGCGGCACCTCTATCTGTTGGTGCTGGAGTTGTTTGTACCACAGGACCACTCTGCGGTGCCGACAACAGTGCCAGCTCACTTGCCGGTGCTGGGAGAGCTCTGTTCGCTGCCAATCGTGCCCACACAGGTGGCCACTGCTCCGGCACCACCTGCGGGGTTGAATGGAGCAGTGCCAGTGCCTTTAAAGCGCAGGTGCCACTTGTCAGTACCGAGGCTGCTTTCAGCGCCGAAGAGGATCATTCGGATGCCGCAATCTTCTTTGCTTTTTCCCCTGACACAGGCAGTGAGGTTTGTGGGACAGAGCCAGAGGACCCTGGCTTATCCCCTGCAGTCCTCTAAGGTGGGAGCGATCTGGCAGGGGAGATTTTCTTTCTTTTATGTGCCGTTGGCTGAGAGCAGGAGACCCTTTGATTTTGGGTCCCCCCAAGTTGTCCCACAGCCATTATATCAGGCTCCAGTGCCTTGTCGAACAACAACATTTTGAGGTGCATTTCCCTGTCACGGCAGGTGTGGGCTGTCATTTTAGAGCAGTACCCGCATTATTGGGGAATATGGGTTTCCCCTAAACAGTGTATACATGCTGAATGACCATCCAACATTGGCATGAGTTCCCGGCATAGCACACACTTTTTGAAACCTGAGGATCCAGGCATGATTGCGTTCAGCTTACCTCCTGTGAATTGTGTTGTCAGTTTGACTCCCTGACAGCAGGAAGCTGAGGTTTTTAACGAAGTATTAACAAGTCTCTTTCTTCTTCTTCTTCTTCTTTTTTTTAAAAGTATTAACAGGTCTCTTTCTTCTTCTTCTTTTTTTTTTTTAAGATAAGAGAAGATCAATCAAATGAAGGAGGGAATAACTATTTACAAGTCATTATCTACAGATCCCCTGAGGGGACTGAAAAACTGCTGAGAGAAATCGGAGCTCCGTCTGTGGCCAGGGACGATTGAGATCAACTGAGCAGGGAGCTGGGTGAGCGCAAATATCAAAGAGCACAAACAGCACATCTGCACATTGCGCATGCACAACCCAGCTGAATACAGCTATGCGAAGCCTCCGAGCTGAGGCGCTGGGATGAGCTCAACACCATGAGTGGAGCACCCACAGGGACCACTCGAAGAAGAAACAGGAACTAGGTGGTCATAGGGTTTTATTCAACTCTCTACTCCTGAGGGAATTTTTGTGTGTGTTTGTATTGTGACAAACATACTTGATGATAGTTATTTTAAAATAAATTACCAAAAGAATTGAAGCTGGTGTGATTATGTGGTGGTAGTTTGACAAATAAAATGTCCAAAACTTTAAAATATTTTGTGCAGAATTTGTATTTGTTTTTTGGGGTGGTGCAGCATGCTCCTATGAGTAATTTGGGTATTATTCTTTTGGCCTCAATGCTTTTCTGTATATTTTAAGTCATTTCTATATACAACATTAACATTGGAAAAAAATAGCATAAACCAAACTGACTAAATTAGAATTCTACTGCTGTACTTTATGTTACTATTATGTATTTGTAATATATATTGTGGAAGTTTCCACACCCGGCTAAAAAAACAAACGATGATTCATGCTCGGAGGAGGTTATCTTTAAAAAAAAAAGAAAAAAGAAAAGAAAAAAAGGAGTATACACACCTTTGTTTTGGATGCCTCTATCTTAATGGTTTGTGAAGCCTCATCCTGGTATACAGACAAATGGAAATATAACAGTGCTATCTCCAGGTAGGATTTCCTTACCAACCTGCAGAAATAAACACAAAGATGCATTGATTTTAAAGCCAAAAGGGACTGTTACAATTATCCACACTGAACTTTTGCATAATACAGGTTGTAAAATCCCATCCAGTCTGTAACTGAGATAGCAAAGCTTTAAGAAAAAAATCCAGTCCTGATGTAAAGAGTTCAAGTAAAAAAGGTATACCATATCAGACAAAAAAAATCTAACAAATAGCATAGCTACTTAGTAATATGAAAAAAATATTTTGTGTAATATGCAAACTTGGTAAACAAAAGCTATTTTTGTCAAAATGGTCTGGTTCTACGTACACAATTTGATGTGTTTCTACATAATTCAATGTTTCAGTATGGGTCACATGTCCACTGACTCATTTTTTTTCTATGTGTTTCTACACAATTCAATGTTTCAGTATGAATCACATGTCCACTGACTCATTTTTTTTCCTCTGGTGGACAGTTGATTTGGAATACAGCTCTCCAGCTAAACCTATAGGAGGGTCCTTCCTCTTCCAGGAATAAACAAAACATGTCCAGACAAAGCAAATCAGTCCATTCATCCCCTTGCTGGACTCAGATGAGGTACAGGGGAACATAATTCCACCTTCAACTCTGAAATCTCACTCTGAGACCCTAAATTTTCAAGCAGGGTGTCATCTTCACAGTCTCTCTGGGCCATTTCCTATGTGTCTTTATTATAGTAGGTTAAGACACCATGGTTGGAAAGATTCCTTAATGTTCCTGCTCCCTGAAGGTGTCTGTCACTTGTCAAGACTTCCTATTTGGCTCTAAAGTATTTCTAGGTCCTCCTAGCACTCACGACACTTCCTGTGCAAACCACAATCTTCAGATTATGTACTCCTCTTTTCAAGCACAACCACATGCTGAACTATTGCCAATTCACAGATTTACTGTGGTAAATTCTAGCAGAGATGTGATTCTTATGAAGCAAAACAAAAGAAATACATTCCTACAAACAGTTGTGTAGACCAAGGAAAGGAGAACTAAACCTCAAAATCAAAGAGCACGAGTCTAGACCAAGCTCTTTAAAACTGTTGTAAATAAATTTGTGCACATCACAACTCTTTTTCTGAACCAACATTTCACATATTACAGAATAACGCTAAATCACCTCTTTCACAGACAAGATAACTAAGCACCTGCACAAGGTCACTTCCGGCACAATCCAGAACAGTACCCAAGACTCTAGTACAGAACTATCTTATATCTACTTTGCCATACATTCTGTTAGAAGGAATATGGCAAATTAGATGCTTGTGAATTCTATATTAACACAGTATGGTACTGTGTCATTCTCTAGAACAGGGGTGGGCAATAATTTCCACTCCAAGATTTTGGTAAGCTGTCATGGGTCGCACTTCTGTGGAGGGGGCACAGAGTCTCGGATGGTGGGTGGAGTGCAGAAGGGAGCTTGTGATAGAGGACTGGGGTGCAGGAGGGAGAGTGTGGTCTGAGACAGAATTTGGGTGGAAGGGGTTATGATCTGGGACAGGGACTTGGAGTGAAGGGTCCAGGAGGGCTTATGGGTGCAGGAAAGGATTCTGGCCTGGGGGAGAGCTGTAGGAGGGGGTGCTGGGTCTGGAAGGAAGTTGTGACCTGGGGGAAGGGTTGCATAGGGTTTGGGTGGTGATGTGGGGCAGAGGAATGGGGTGCAGAGTCAGGGAGGGGTATGTGTGCAGGAAAGGATTCTGGCCTGGGGGAGGAGGTGCAGAGTCTGGGAGGTGGTTGTGACCTGGAGGAGGTGGGGAGCGGAGATACAGAGGGTTTGGGTGGTGGCCTGTGGCAGGTAGTTGGAGGGGAGAGAGCAGGTGAGGTGCCAGAGACAGGCTGTGACTGGGAGGCACTTACCTATGCAGCTCCCAGCCAACAGCTCTGCAGACTCCCCTGCTTATGCACTAGGCAGCTGCTCCATATGGCTCTGCTCCGGCACACGGAAAGAGGCGGGGCGAAGGGTGAGTGAGGAAGCTTTATTCTCTGCCCCTGACAACAGCAAAATGTCTCATCTCCTATTAGCCAGAAGCTGGCCAATGGGACCTGGGAGATTTTACTAGGGGGCGGGGACAGCACACAAAGCTTTCTCCTTTTTATGTCATTCTGCTGGGAGATTTTACTAGGGGGCAGGGACAGCACACAAAGCTTTCTCCTTTTTATGTCATTCTAAGTACCCAAGAACCAGGTACTTAAAATACTTAGAGCCCACTCTATAAGCTTCATTTAGCATGGACACTAATTGATAATTTCTTCCCCCTTTTTTCTCCTCCTTTTTCCACCTCTTCCCTTCCATCCACTCTCTGTGCTATTTATTTGAAAATTGGACCCCTTAAACACCATTCATCGGAACAAGTGGTTGTGCCCATGAAAGCTCATACCACTGTCTACATGTTTTGTTAGCCTCTAATGTAGGGCTATTCACTGTTTAAGTTTTTTCCGTTAGGGTACGTTTACACTGCACAGCTATTTTTGCAGGGCTATTCACTGTTTAAGTTTTTTCAGTTAGGGTACGTTTACACTGCACAGCTATTTCGAGATACCGGAGCTACCCTGCATCTACACAACGTACCTGTTATTCTGAAATATTTTTTTAAATAACGGGCACACTATTTCGCCATTCTGGTAAACCTCATTGCACAAGGGATAAGGAATGGCTCAAAATAGTGTGTTATTTTAAAATATGACAATTTTCAAAATAAGCTATTTCAAAATAGTTTCAAAATAACATATGCAAT